GTATGTCAGAGATGAGGAGGCTGGCACAAGATAATGCAGGTTTCAGATTCATTGTTCATAGGGTGCCTATGAGTCATAGTTGACTCAATAGCACTTAACAACAACAAAAACATTTATGCATTTTAACATTTGATAGTGTATCCAGAATGTTCCTGATTTTTTTCCTCTCTCAAATTTATTCCAGTCTACACTTGAAACAAACCTTTCTAACTTCAGTTTTCTATTTTATAAAAATATTTTATAACTCTAAAGTATCATTGCACTGCAAATGTAATTTTATTAGGATAATATTATAGTTTTTCACCTTAAGATTGTGAGGAACAGCAGACAGCATAGTCAATGTAAATTTTCCTAAGTAATTTTACTTTCAGTGTGCATGGGGGGAAAAAAAATTGAAATTGGTTCTAAACTGATTTCAGATTGTATCTCCTTCTCAAGTAGCCTGATTACATCTCACAGAAAAAGAATGACATTCTTTCCATAAACCGAAGAAAATGTCCCTATAAATTCCCATCTGAATTTTATCATGTGGACATTCTTTGTGGTATTAAATCAAAACATTGTAAATTATCCTCCTCCCTACCATGTCTTAAATTTACTATGGCATTATTTTTGATCTGTAATCTAGACACACTTTCACCAAATACGTGATTCCCCCTCCCTATATATTTGCTGAGAGACGTAACTTCATTTTGTTATAACACTATAATCTGAGGCTACAGTTAAAACTTCATTTTTATACGCATCCTTTTGCTTTTATTAAGAACAGTTTACATTTCTTCAGATCATCTACATATGAATGATTTCTTCCAAGTGATTAACGTTAATCCCCATTAGGTGCAACAACTTCTAATCTCCAAATATGACCAATTCTTCAGTTTTTAAAACAGATAGATTTTTATGAAGAATCTACTTACCTCAAACTCAGGACCACTACACCTTTACAGAGTCTAATTTTTGAAGAACATGAGAATTTTATAATTCTAAACCCTTTCTGTAATTCCAACATGGTTCTACAACCTCTGATTGTTTTTACTCCATTTGTTCAGATTCTCATGACTCTTCCTGAGAACTCAACATACATCTTTCTATTCTTCTCACATGATTTCTTACTTTACAGAGAAAATTTATTGTCATTATGTGCCTTTGAGCTGCATATAACTCATAGTGACACTGTGTACAACATCTAAGAACCCTGCCCTTTCCTGAGCCACTCTCACTGACTACGACACACTTAATTCCATTGCCCCGTAATTGTGTCAATCCATTTCATCTGGGGTCTTCTTCTTCTGTGTTGTCCCTCTACCTTTCCAAGCATGATGTCCTTCTCCAAGGTTTTTTTTCCTCCTGGCCACAGGCCCAAAATATGTCAGATGAAGTTTTAAAATCCTTGCCTCTGAGGAGAAATTTGGTTTGATGCTTTCCAAGAGATCTATTTATTTGTTCTCCTGGCGGTCCATGGTATGTTCAATACTCTGCTCCAGCACAACTCAAAGACATAGACTCTTCTTCTGTCAACTTTACTCGTTGTCCAGTTCCCTGATGCACAGCAAGTAAGACCATGCATGACATGGATCAAGTGCCATTTTGTCTCTAAACTGACACCATTGTTCCTCAGCACTCTTGAAGAAATCTTGTGATTTCTTGACTTCTGGTGCCAAGAGCGTTGACTGTGGAGCTCAGCAAGCTAAAATGATTTTTTTTTTTAAATTTTATTTTATTAGTTTGAACGAACCTTTACAGAGATTTTGGATTTCCATTCATTGTTGTATTTTTCTTCCTGCCCACCTCTCCCCCCCAGTTCATTTTTCTCTTTGAAAAGTAAAAGAAAAAGTCCTTCATTGGTATGCAATCCCTGACCCCCACCCCGAGTACACTCTACTATGCAACCTTCATTCTGGACTCTTGTCATATTACCCAATCATATATCCCTTTCAAACAGTTCTCTCCCTCATCTCCTTTAATGCAGTACACATAATTTTTCTCATCTTTCTCAGTCTTACTCCAAAATACATATAGATGAAGCTAGAGAGATAGGCAGCAACCATACCCTAAATCAGTCCCATAAGGACAATACTATATAAAATCATTATTGTAGAATGAGTATAAGAATCTGGGGACAGAGGAGGGGGAACAAGTGGCATGAGGAGGGGCAAGAGGGGGAAGGTTAATCATAGGGTCACATAATTTGATGGGTGGAGGTGGTGAAGGGAAAGATCCAGTGTAAAAAACAATGTATTTGAACTTTGTAAATAAACCAGTATTTAAAAATAACAAACAAAGAAAGAAAAGACAAGGTGATCATAGGTGAACTGTAATGAATTATATAAAATAAAAATGTATATGAACATGGGCAGAAAAACAATATATATAAATTAAACAGCATATATGAAGGATTGTGTATAAATAAAGAAAAACAAAGTTGAAAAAATTAAAATTGTCATGCAGAATACTTAAAAAAAAGAAACAGGGGAAAAGGGTTAAATAAGTAAGGAAAGGATTGCAGTTTTGTTTTGCTATGAAGATTTTTAACACAGCTTTATCTAATGTTTGCATTAAAGGTCTGCACACTCTGGGTGCTTTTTATTAGTGTTCTGAAGAGCATCATAGGACTCTGAGAGACTGATAAGGAGTCTGTACAGTCATTTAAACTAGCTATAGTTGTCCGTTGAGTGAAAGTGCTAGTAAGAGTAGTAGAGCAGAGGGAAATTGTTGGATTTGGATATGGTTTGAAGGAAAAGGTCATTACTTGCTGAGGATTAGATGTGCATTGAGTGTGAAAGCAATCAAAGCAAGAGTCAAGGTGCTTGTCTTGAGCATTGGGTTTGCGGAGGGCATCATTTACAATGAAGGCCCCACAGTCTTCAGTCTTGCTACCTCATCATTGGACAAAGGTCTACTTAAAATACATCCCGCACGTCAACTACTACACATTTCATCTTACAAAAGAAGCCAGTATTTGCTAGCTTTTCAGTCTATGTGAGATCACCTTTTCCCTAAGAGCCACATGATTATACCTTTGGAGCACAACTTTCACACTATCTATCCATCATTTTAGTTCTCAGAATTTTTGGGAAAACTCTTGGTTATTATAGCATTGACAGCTACAGAAGGGAATAGTCAGCCAATAGACTCATATCATTATTTTCACCTGGTTGTCACCTTTTTTCAGGAAACAATCAGTTCTAAGTGATGCCATCCATCCCAAGAAGTCAGTTCTCCAGTTCAACCATCATTCAGACTCTCAAACTTTTGCTGTGCCTATATCTATAAATTTGACTTTACTTCCTACACCTATCTGTGCTCTCCACCATTTCCTTAGCACTTTCTCTGGTCTTCTCTTTCATGTTTTGACTTTAACAAAAAAGAATTATTTCCAGGAAACATGGCTTCCTTTCCCCCTGGTCCCTCACAGTCATGAATAGGGTTGTTGCTGTATAATGTCGAGTTGGAACCGACCCATAGCTGACCCTCCAATGAGCTTTCTGAGGCAGTTAACTGCAAAGAAGGAGACTGCTCATCTTTCTGAAGAGCAGCTGGGGGATTACAAGTGCATGCCTTCGGGGTTGCAGCACAGTGTATCATTAGGCCACCAGAGCTCTCATGTTTTGGCTTTAACTAAAAGAAATACTTATTTCCAGAAACCATTACTTGTTCTTTCCAGATCTCTCATAGTCATGAATGGGTAGGTATCTTTCATTTCTGTTTTTTATCAATAACATTCACATGTGGGAGAAGAGTACTGTAAATTCCATGGCCTCCTAAGAGAACAAGAAGATTTGCTTTGGAGAAAGTACACCCAGAATTCTCCTTAGAGGCAAGGATGGCAAAGGTTTGTCTCACACACTTTGGGTGTTATTAGGGGAAGCTTTTCCTTAGAAAGGGACAGCGTGTTTGGTAAAGTTGAGGGTCAGTGGAAGAGAGAATGACTCTCATTGAGCTGGATTGACATGGTGACTGCATCAACACACTCAAGTGTATCAGGGATGATGACGGCACAGGAGAGGGCAGAGATTTGATCTGTTTTCATAGGGTCACTATGTACATGGTAGGGTTCATGAATCGATGACATCTAACAACAACTTTGTGTGTTGATGTCAGGCCAACACCCCACAAATTAATAGAAAGCAAATCCATCTACTTGCACACTAAATTATACCTTCAATCATTCGCAAGACGGGGACAGCAACTCCACTTCTTCTAATTATTTTTTCCACATTCTTTTGGCACAGTCTCATCAATATACCAACATGCTACTGTCATGACAGGAGTCCAGAACTAAGGCTGCATAGTGGAGTAGACTTGGAGGAAGGGATTGTACAAGAAGGAAAGAATTTTTCTTTTACTTTTCTTTTTTTTTTTTAAAGTGATCTTCATTTACTGTTGGATTAGCAATTAGAATGTACAACTTCTGTTCAACAGGACACTGAAAAGTTACTTTAACGTGACAGCCGCAAAAAAATAGGATTCTGCAATTACAGTAGCCTTTACGTGTACGATTCTAAAATAAATACGACTTCTGAGCCGCTGTTGCCAGTTTTTAATGATTAATTTAAGCATATACACATTTTCCGTTGTGAGAGACAACACTCCAGCTTGTTTTCTGAGAGGGTTTTGTAAGAGTCAAGGAGCTCGAGTAACTGAGGTGCGTGATCACGCCTCAAGCCAGGCAGGAAAGAGTTCAGTTAACTGGGGCACACAGCGCACCACAGGACATGGGCTGTACCGCAGCCGCTGTAAGTCCTTCACTGTCAGCCAGCTGTCTTTTTCAAAGAGTATTTCCTCCCAAGAGTTTGAGAATTTGGGCGGCCTGTTTAATTTTTGCTAACCTGACTCCCTTGGATGACCTAGTTAGTGGTCAGGCTACTGGCAATTTGGTCACAAAGCAAGTCAAGGCTGCAATAAAGAAAGCCTGTGTCTAAAACACCGTGTCCTTACTGGAACCACTCAAGTTATTTATTTTTAACATAAAACACGTAACTTCGAAGTGAAGGGTCTAATCAAGCAACACGAACAAGAAGGAGGAAGCATCTCCTCTTCCAAGACTTACTAGGTTTAGCCCAGTATTCTCGATACATGGAATACGTCATACCAACCGTCGTTGCTCCCACCACAAAGCCTTGGGCTGCTACTCGCATGTGGATCAGGTGGATGGACATTTTAGTACTCCCCCTGTTCTTCAGTTTGTATAATCCGTACGCCACGATTGCAGCAAACCCCGCCATTCCAATGGGGACAAATGGTGCCTCTTTAGCTTTTTGAATCAATTTGGATCCCTGATCTTCATCATATGAAGAAAGAGATACATCTGTGTTGGATGACATTGTAATTGCTTGAAGAATCGCCCACGAGCAAGCCCACCACGTAAGGTCCCACCAGTTTCTCTTTCTTTTACTTTTCAAAGAGAAGAATGAACTGAAGGGGAGGGGTGGGCAGGGAGAAAAGTGCAACAGTGAATGAATGGAAATACAATATCTGTAAATTTTCTTTGACATTAATGATAATAATTTAAAAATTAAAAAATAAACCCAACAAAACAGTGCAGACAGTGTAGCGGCAACTCTGTCTGAAAGAGTCACTATCCACAACATTAATAAGACAAACCAATTCCTGTGAGGTCAGTCATGTCCCAAGACTCCCCACATCTATTTCTACCAATTTGAACTCTAGCTGTTCCTCCCAAGGATCTTTCTGGTCTACTGTTGGATCTGCTCATCTATTTCAATGTCCATCTAACACTCACAGCCCACATTTATGATCATGGGATTTTTTTAGGGAAATGAATAAGTTATAATCCATGTTGGAAAAAGGATGCAATTCTTCAGTCAGGACAGCTACTCCAGTGTACTCGTAGGTCTCCTGACTTTTATCCTAGCAGCTTTGTGTCAGTGAATACAGCTCTTTAAGGCCTGTCAATTACGTCATCTTTTCCACTTCAACCTCCTACTCACAGTGCACTACTCCAGCCAGCTTGGGCTCTGCCTCCACGGAGCAGTTCCCGTTCAGTTCTGTCTTGCACGGACCTCTGGTTCTCTGCCACCTCTGTAGAAGCTACTTTTATTGCTACTTTGGTCTGGGTTCCAGTTGTTTTCTGGCTCAAACAGATACATTCTGTAATCTCTGATTCTTCTTTCTTGATAGTAGTAGTAAGACTCCCATTTTTGCTGTTTTGGTCTTTCTCCTAAGTATCTTTATATGTTTTTCCAAGTCTCTTTCAAGTGTCCATTCTATTCTTCTAGCCTATTAGCTCTATCCTCAGCTTTTGTCCTTTCTTCCATCTTTATACCCTCTTAAAACTTTTTCTCTGTAAACGTTCTGGAGGATTTCAATTGTTACTGTATTTTCATTCTAACCACTACACTATCTTCAATCTTTCTTGTAAGCAATAAAGTGGCAGGTTCAAATACCTGGTTTAGTGTTCAATGGCTGGCTGCCGGGAAGAATGTCCTAAACTTACTGTTTTCTGCCAATCTCTTAATTACACCCCTTCCGCCATTCTCTATGTTGGCACTTTGTTTTAAATACCCAGTCACAAAAAAAACAGTGGATTTTTTTAACAGCCATCTTAGAGTTGTCTTTGTCTCCTATATTGTACTTTCACTTGAAAATTTCATCTTCCTCTCTCTTCTCTCTAGTGCACTTCCTGAGACCATGCAATTAGCATCCCATGAAGATTTTATGGAAGCAGTAATGGTTAAGTGATAGAATTTTTGTCTATGGGAAACCTAGGTTCTACTCCCAGGTATTGTACCTTGTTTGTGACCATGGCAGTGGGGACTTAACTTGCTTATTTCTATAATACTGAATGAAATTTCAGTGGTGCTTCCAGACCAAGATGAATGAGTGTGGAAACCTTGACAATTTATTTTCAAAACCAAAATCAACCATGCAAAACCCTATGCATGGATGGTCAATGATTTTAGACCATTATAGAGATGGTGCAGGCATCATTGCCCATGTCAGATGCCAATGTGTGTGTGGCCTAGGGAGTAAGGGGTTGCACTGACGAGTCAAAGGTATGTGTTTTGAATCCATAAACTGCTCCGTGGGAGAAAGATGGGCAAACTTCCTCTGAAAAACCCACTGGAGGCTCAGCCATGAATCAGTTCCGCCTCGATGGCACAAAAGAACAACAACAATGTCCCAGAAAATTTTAGTACTGCTGCTACAATAAATCCAGAGGCAGGATAATCATAATTTTATCAACAAAGCAAAGCAGTTTGATTTACCAGTGAAAATGTTATTTTTTAAAAAAGATAATACATTACTATTTTATTACAAAGAGAGCAATTTTATTTCATTTTAAATAGACAGTTTAGGAAACTTTGAGGTTTTGTTCTTTATATTGCTAAGAACAGATTTATGTTTGATTCTTTTACACAAAATTGAGCAATTATGCTAAAGTAGCTAATATTTGAGTGTTTTCCAAAGAAGAATTTAATTTAATTCTTAAGAACTTTTTTCACATTTAAGCAATGTTTGGTTTTATTTGTTTTAACTGTAAAATGCAATTAGTCTAATATGCTTCCTGTGAAAAAAATAATATAATTCTGTCAGGAAGGTTTTTATGCTAACATGAATAAAACGAATTGAAATAATGAAACTCAGAAAAATGAGATCAGATTGTAAAGTTTCGTTTTATGTTTTACAAAGTAATCTTTTTACAGAACAATATTTGGCAAAGAAAATCTGAGAAGTTTTTCTTTATCTCCTCAATACTTGCTTCTGATGTTGAAGAGTAAAATAAAAATCGAGCAATGTCCACAATTCAAGAGAACGAATTAAAAGTTTCAAGCTAGTTTTCAAAAAACCAAAAGTCAAATTCAGCATCATTGAGTCTATTCCAACTCATAATAATCTTCCTTTAGATTTTCAAGCCCATAAATCGCAATGGGAGGAGAGTGCCTTCTTTCTCCAGAGTTGCCCCTGGTGGATGTGAAGCTTCTGGAGAGGTTTAGCCTTTGGTTGGCAGCATACTATATTATGGGTTGCATCACCAGAGTTTCAAAAATTGGTTGTTTCCCCCCAAAAAGTGAATTTATAAATGTAGAAAGTAGATTGATGATTAGGAAATTCTAGTGGCCTAGTGGCAAGAAACTGCATTGCAATCCCAAAAGCAAGTGGTTTCAGGCCACCAGCTGCTCCACTGGAGAAGGATGGACAATATATTGCCGTGTGATTACTGCCTCTGAAAACCCACTGGAGGGTCAGCTATGGGTCGATTCTGACTCTACAGTACACAACAACAACAGACTGATGATTGGCATGGAATAAAGCTCCTTTTATGTTCTGGAATTACATAGTGGTGATGGTTTCACCACCCAGGTAATACATTAAGAAGCAATAGATCATACATGTTTTTGGTTGAATTGTGTCTTGTAAAGAGATGATCAAGCCCTAACCTCCCATATTTGTGAATGTGACTTTATTTGTCAATAAGTTTCTGAAGATATAATTAACATAAAGTCATCATATTTGTGAATGTGACTTTATTTGTCAATAAGTTTTTGAAGATATAATTAACATAAAGTCATACTTGAGTACCGTGAGTCTCAATCCAATATAATTGATGTTCTTCTTTTTCGTAAAAGCAGAAACATAAAATTGCAGAGGGAAGATGGTCATGTGAAGGTAAAGGTAAAGATTATGGCTATGCTGTTACAAGCCAGTTGGCACCTGGGGTTACCAGATGCTGGAGGCAATACGAAAATCTTTCCTTAGAATCTTCAGAGAGAAATGGCCTCGCTAACGTTCTGAATTTGAATAAACGTCTACCTTGTAATGGATAAATCTTTGATTATACAAGACTATGCAAAGGGATTTGATTGTGTGGATCATAAAAACTTATGGAAATCATTGAAAAGAATGGAAATATTGTGCTTATGTGAAACATATACATAGATTAAGAAGCAGTTGTCTGAACAGAACAACTGAACACTGAATGGTTTAAATCAGGGAAGATGTGTGTCAGACTTGTATCTTTTCTCCATATCTATTCAATCTGTATGTTGAGCAAATAATTGGAGAAGCTGGACTTTATGAAGAAGATTGTGACACAAGGCTTGGAGGAAGATTCATCAACAACTGGTTTTATACAAAAAGCAAAATCTTGCTTGCAGAAAGGAAAAATGATGTTGAGGTACTTAATACAGAATGACCAATCTCCCATGTTATTTCCTGTTTCTGAAAACCTATTAGATCAACTATGAGTCAGTTGCAATTTGATGACATACAACAATGACAATAACCAAATACAGATTATATCTCAATAACATGACAATAAAAATCCTCAGCACTGGACCAATAGGTATTTTTGGTGGAGAAAGGATTGAAGTTGTCAATGATTTCACTTTACTTTGGTCTATAATCAACTTCTGTGATAGGGTTGCTGTTATGTGCTGTCATGTTGCAATCGATTCATCACTGACCCTCCAGTAGGTTTGCAGAGGCTGTAAATCACTGAGGAGGAGACTGACCATCTCTCTGCCATGGGGCAGAAAGTTGATTTGAACCAACTGTCCTTGGGTTGGCAAGGCAACTGCTTACCCACTAGACATCAGAACTCTTTACCTATGGTAGTCAAGAAATTTAGATACTTGTTGCACTGGGAAAGTCTTAAGACCTCTCCAAAATACTAACCCAGGTTTTGGTCTTTTCAACTGCTTCTTATGCATTTGAAAGCGGAATAATGTATAAGGTTGACTAAAAAAGTTCAGTACCTTTAACTTGTAGTGTTGGTGAAGAATACTGGATGAACTGCTGAAAGAACAAACAAATCTATCTTGAAAGAAGTGCAACCAGATTGTTTCTTGTAGGCAATAGTGGTGAAACTTCATCTCCCATACTTTGGACATGTTGTCAGGAGGTGATAGAATTTGGGATTGCAGTGCAGCTTCTTGCCATTAGGCCACCAGAGCTCACTGGAGGTGCTAGTCCTTGGAAATAAAGATATCATGCTGCGAAAGTTGGAAGTTCTGAGAAAGAGGGGGAGATTCCAAAGGTAACAGATGGATTAATACAGTAGCTGTGACAATGGGCTTAAGCATGCTAGAGTTCATAAGGATAGCACAGAATAGGAGAAGGTTCTTATCTGAGTTGTTCCAAAAGTCCCAATAAATTGTGGTCAACTTGAGGACACATAATACCAAGCATTTTAGGTATAAAGAAATACATTTCTGTTGCTTGTTCTGTATTTTGTTTTATATCTCTATTGTTTTAAGCCACCTAGCTTTTGGTATTTTTTTATGGCAGTCTTCAGAAACTACATTTGTCTATATGCTGTGCCGTAATGGAGTCAATATTGCTATGATGCTTGAAGCTATGCCAATAGTATTTC